ATTCGGTCCTTAAAGGTAAGTCAAGTCTTTCTTCTAAATGAATTTTTTGGGTCAGAGTCAGAACTTGCTTCAAAACTCGCTCCGATAGGCAGAGTTAGCCCACCAGTACTATCATTTCGCTGAAAAACCGTCCGACTTCATCTTTCGAGGATTGGTTAAAATAAAAAACGATGGTTGTGTCATGGTTCAGTACTAATTTTTCGTCGAATGAAGAACCGTTTAAGAAACTGCGGGTGCCGCTCGGTCGTTTGTTTCGTCCATCTGTTATCTGTCATTGCTGCCATATGACCAGCACAGCCTTTGTTTCTGGCATACATTTTATATTTTATAAAATTTCTTCATACACATGATATTCAAGTGAAATCCTTCTATTCTTCTATCTTATATTGTATCTTTTACATCAGAACGCCGCACCTTTTCATTGATTATATGTTGAGCCTAAAATTCATCTTTTCATTGATCTTTTTCTCAAGCTGGACACAAATGTTTTTTTTTTTTTTTTTGAAGCAACATCCAGCATTGGAGCTTGATATGGTCTGTGAGGAGTATTGTGCTGGTTGTTGTAAGTGTCGAAAACCATCTTCATCATCAGCGTCTTCGGGTGAAAAGGATCAATCGAATTGGCGCTGGTGGCATTATCTTATCGGTTCGCCCAATCGTACCAACATGGTATTTTTTCTGATAATTTCTAAAATTGTAGATTATTTGAATACTTGAGCAGCTACAAGTCATCAACGTTCGTTGTCACGCCATCGATGCAGCTGGCGATTTCTCCATTCAACTTGTTGTGCTGTCCAAGTCCACATGATACCGTACATTGGTACAACGTGATACGGTTATAAAGGAAAATTTCAAGAGAAATTGTAGATTAGATGTGAGAAATTTTTTTCTCCCTTATTTCTGCACTGTTATAGCAGTCGTTTCGTTTGCAGAAAGCTGCGAAACCAGTAATAGATTATTCAAAAATAATGAATGAGAACTGTGGGAAAATTCGAGAAGTTCACGCGAATCCAGTTGATTTGGCAATTGAAAATGTTCAAGATAGTGTAAGTATTTTTACTTGCTTGATATTTAAAGCGAACTATTATTTTAGTATTTAAGTATTTAATTATTTCTAATTACTTGATATTCGGCATTGATCTATGTACATTTATGCTGCTATTGGTCTCTAAAATGGTGTAGCCGACAACCATGCCAGTTCTTCATTTCGTGGTTTTTTTGACCGGTACCGCATCGCTTATTGGTAACTCTTCTGACGAACCTGTTCTTCGTTTCGTTTGAGGTTCAGTTGGCTCAGCTTTTCTCCGATATTGGCAACTTTGCGGGGGTGTAGTTCCACCTAGAAATTCAACGGTGTATATTGAGTGTCACCACCTCGTTTCTATGCTTTCCAACTCCAAAACCATAACAATCATACTATGGAGGCCCAACTGCAGCGCTGAAAAGGAATTTATACGACTTAATGGATCGAAACATTTCTCTTCATCTGCATTTTTCCTCTGTCCTTTTGTTAAAAATTTTTTATAGAAATAGGATTTTATGTAAATTTTAAGGAATGAAATTTTTATAAGAAATAAAATTTTTTATATAAATTGATTGCTTGTTTCCTTCTCATCGCTCTTTTCACCTGTTAAATACTTATTTTTTTCCATGGTGTTTAATCCCCGTACTTTTTTATACAATCCTAAATATTATTCCTTTTCAATAAAGATGGGAAATATCCTTTTTCGGTTTCGGTCATCTTTTTGCGTTTTTTTCGTGTAGAACGATATTTTTTAATCAATCAGTGTCAAAATAATGCTCATTGAAATCTTCAGGATGCATGCGGTCTTCGTATTCGTACTGGTGGCAGTGGTCACAGTAGGTCCAGTTTATTGTGGGATGGTTGGAAGAGATGTAAAACACGGCAACTTTCGCTGTCACCCGATTCGAGCTTCTACCAGAACGATTTGTTAGTAAAATCGGCAACAGTAAAATTCAATAATTTGCCGGATACTGTTAAGAAAATGACAATTTTTGGCAATGAATACGACATTGATGATGCTCTGAACACAAAAATAGTATTTGAATCAACCGATAAATCTGTTAATATGTATCTGCCATCTGCTCTACGTGTACTGTAGTGATATCGATGAAATTTCTGGAAGGGATTACCGGGCAAATTTTGTTGTAGATCTCAAAAAAAAGTATCTTGTTGGAGATTTAGCGATGTCCATTCTGCATCACCACCTCACCTTCAAGTGTTCCTACTCCCAAATTACGTTGAAATAGTATCTTGCTGTTGAAATATGGACGATTTTTCTA